CAGGCCTCCAGGGAAGCCTCGGGACCCGCCGCCAGGTCACCGGCTGCTTCTCGGCTGGAGCTCCTGCGCGGGACCCAGTCCCTGACTCCGAGGTGCCTGGGGACAAGACCACGGCCTCGCAGGCCTCCATGGGTGGGGCTGTGGGGGGACACGGGGGCTCCCTGGCTCGGCGACAGTGAGTCCCGACCCCCTGGACCTCACAGAGGGCAGAATCGTGCTAGAGGAGGTTAGGCGGCGAGGAGGAACGGTGCGTTGGGACTAATTGCATGTCTTCCCGTCCTTGACCCCAACGCGCGCCTTCTCCACAAGAGGGTTTGGGGAAAGTAAGTTTCTTGGGAATCTGATCCCTGTTAGGTGGGGCCCTGGAGGAGGGCAAAGAACAGCGGCAGCCGAAACACCTGCGAGTTCTCAATACAATCTAATATGGACGTGAGTGGAGTCATTTCTCCTTCCGGGGGAGCTCAGACCTGACGCGTCAAGATTATCCCTCTCCAACGTGTCAGACAGGGTACCTGCCAGGGACACCAGCACCTGTCCCCCGGGGGCTTCCCCTTTGCGAATAGAAAAGGCGGCCTGGTATTCTGTTCCACTTAGTGCTTGTGTGACCCTAAGCTGGAGGCCTGAGCCGTGTGGGACGCTGCTTTGATCCTCTGGAGACTAAACTAGAACGGAGCACAGGGAAGGCAGGCACACAAGCGGGCGGTGCGGAGAGGTGGCGGACGGAGGGAAACCTGGGTGGGGCGCGCAGGCTGCTCTGACCCGCGACGCTGGGCTCCGGCTCTGTGTTTCAGGGGGACACACACACACACACACACACACACACACACACACACCAGCGCCTGCCTCTCTCTGCTAGCGCTGGGGTTCCTCTGAGGTGGTCCATTCAGCGGAGCCCCCTGCGCTCACACTGGCTGAGGGGGCAGCTCCAGCCGGGGTGAGAGAGCAGCTGGGGGCGCCCGTCCTGTGGGGACGCTGCCCCGCGCAAGGTTAGGGCAGATAAGTGACCGAGCCTGGGAAGGGCGGCGTTCTCACCGGCTCGAGGGTCCTCCCCGCCTTCCAGTCCTGTCACCTGTCACCCCGGGTCCTCGTCCCGCCCCGCTCTCCGTGACCACGCGACCATCGGTGCCCGGGCCCCGGGAACCAGGGCTCCCCCCTCCCGGTACAAACTGCAGGGGCGCCGCTTTCCCTGCCTCCGGGTCCTCCTCTCATCCTCCCACCCGGCGATGCCTTGCCAGTGTTTGGGGTGGTTGGTGCTCTTGTAAAAGTCTATCAAAGGATCGCTGGCGTCTCCCCGTCAAGTCATTACGCCTTTATCCCCATCAATTACCCACACCTCAGAGGGCTGCTATTAAGAGCTCAATTGAGCTGCAAAAGTAGAGATCCCGTTTCAGGCAGATGTTGTCACCTCCCGCAGAGATAAGCAGCCCGTGGGACCCGGCCGGCAGCTTCCCCAACCGCCGGAGCGGCTC